TTTATAAGTCTATTATTTTAAGCTTGTATTTTAGTGCACTGCAAGGATTAGAGACTTTAGACTGTTGGCGTAAATACTAGGAAGATGAACAAAGAAAGAAAAGGTTTCAAGTCATAAATTATAATCACTTTCTTTAGACTACATTTGTCCACTATTAATGTCCAATGCAATATACACTATATGACAAACTGGTTAGAACTATAGAGAGTAGTTTTAGAGTATTCTAAAATGTGAAAGTTGAATTTCTACAATAAATCAATTCTCTACGTGATCTAGCACAGTTAGAATGGTTGTGATTTAGGAATCGTATCTTATAGTCAATGATCAAACAACTCTTCAAAGTTTTGTGTCATCCGAATAGGTGTTTACCTGGGCATCCTTGGACATGGAGTAATAATTGGGAAGGGGACGGTGAGATTAAACAGAGGCTGGATAGAACATTGAGCAGTGTAGAATGGAATCTGAACTTTGGGAAGGCAAAATGCACTCACCTGAAGTCCCATGCGTCTGATCACAGTGCTTTACTTTTGGATACTAACCCCATGGAAAGAAACAGGAAAAAAAGATTCTTTTTTGACAAAAGGTGGCTTCAGAGAGAAGGAATATCCCAAGTTATCAAGGAAGCTTGGGACAAGAAGGTAGAGGGGTCCAGGATGTTTCAGGTTAAGACAAAAGTGAGGAATTGCAGAATTGCCTTACTTAGATGGAGCAACAAATATAACAGGAACTCTAGGGAAAGGATAGAGAGTATATAGGAAAAGTTGGATCAGATTCAAGGATCTTCACTGGTAAGTATCAGGAGGGAAAAGGCTTCTCTCAAAATGCAACTGAAGGAAGCTTACAGGGATGAGGAAATGTTTTGGTGCCAGAAAGCCAGACTCAAATGGCTACAAGAAGGAGACAAGAATACTCAGTTTTTCCATGCACAGGTAAACAGCAGAAGAAAGGTAAATAGAATGCAGAAACTACAAAAGGAAGATGGGACATGGACAGAAAATGAGGATGATTTGGGAACTGAAATTGGTAGCTACTACAGGCAACTCTTCTCCAAATCTATTGAGAGTAGTAATCATGAGATTATAGATGGAATCCCAAAATCCATTTCTGAGGCTATGAACCAGGATCTAACTAAGGTAGTAACAGAAGAGGAAGTCAAATCTGCAATCTTCTCTATGGATAGCAACAAGGCTCCTGGCATAGATGGGATGTCCCCCCTTTTTTTCCAAAAATTCTGGGATATAATCAAAGGAGACCTGGTAAATGCTATTAAAAGTTTTTTTCATTCTGGCAATATGCTAAAGGCTATTAACCATACCATCATTTCCTTGATCCCAAAGGTCCCATGTCCCACTAACATCAAGCAATACAGACCCATTAGCCTCTGTAGTGTGATTTACAAAGTTATTGCCAAAATCCTAGTCAACAGGCTCAAGCCTATTCTGCATCATTGCATCAGCATTAATCAATCTGCTTTTATCCCTGGGAGACACATTCTAGATAACATCATTACCTCTCATGAGTATTTGCATCATCTCAAAAATAAAAGGTACGGTAAGGATGCATTTATGGCTGTGAAGCTTGATATGTCTAAGGCTTATGACAGAGTTGAATGGCAATTTTTGCAAGATATAATGGGAAAAATGGGATTCTGTGAGAAATGGATAACATGGATAATGAAGTGCAAAAATACAGTCTCCTTCTCTTTTAACATCAATGGAGAGTGTAAGGAATACATTGTACCTGAAAGAGGATTAAGGCAAGGTGATCCTCTGTCACCTTATTTATTCCTCTTATGCTCAGAAGGCTTCTCTAGCCTACTGAAGAAAGCAACGCAGACAAAAAGCATGGCAGGCATGAAGATAAGCAGACATGGCCCCTCTATAACCCACCTGTTCTTCGCTGATGACTCCTTGATCTTTTGCAAAGCCAACTCTAAAGAAGCAAAGGAGCTGAAGAGGATACTAGAGGTATATGAACAAGAATCTGGGCAGATGGTTAACTTAGACAAGTCCAGTGTGTTTTTTAGCAAAAATGTGGATGTGGCAACTAAGGAGGAAGTGTGCATGGAACTAGGAGGGATTCAACCAGTATCGCAAGGGAAATACTTAGGGCTGCCTATGGTGATTTCAAGGTCTAAGGGACAGCTGTTTGGTTACATAAAGGATAACATCAAAAGAAGAATGCTAAGCTGGAAAAACAAGCTTCTGAGCTCAGCTGGGAAAGAAATTCTGATCAAAGCTGTGGCAATGGTAATGCCTAATTACACAATGTCTTGTTTCAAACTACCTTGCAGGCTGTGCAAAGAGATAAGCTCTATGCTTTCCAATTTCTGGTGGGGAGAAAAAGACAACAAGTATAAGGTGCACTGGGTAGCTTGGAAGCAGCTGACAAGGGAGAAAAAATGAGGTGGTATGGGATTCCAGGACATTCAAAATTTCAATAGAGCTCTACTGGCTAAACAGATTTGGAGAATCATCAAAAATCCAAACCTGTTATCCAGCAGAGTTTTGAAAAGCAAGTATTTTCCAAATTGCAGTGTCTTGGATTCCAGAACCCCCAACAATGCCTCATGGTTTTGGCAAAGCATCATGAGTGCAAGAGAAGAGCTTCAATGGGGAATACGAAAAAGGATAGGGAATGGCCTTTCTACTAGAATCTGGGATGATCAATGGATTTCAAACCAACATTTAGGAAGACCAATCACAACTAAGCCAGAAGACTGCCAAGTTCAGAAAGTTGCTGATTTGATAGAAGGCTACAGGTGGAACAGAAATCTCATTTTCAAAAACTTCAAAAAGGAGGATGCTGAAAACATTCTCAAGATTCCCATAAGCATCACAGGAAGAGAGGACAATATCTTCTGGACAGAAAATCAGACAGGGGAATATACGGTGCAATCAGGCTACAAGGCAATCCAAGCTAAGAATGAACAGGAGGGTGGAGGGGAAAGAGAAGGAATTGAGGCTAGCCATAGACCAAGGAGGACTGACATGTGGAGAGTGCTGTGGAAACTAAAAATCAGTCACAAAGTTAAGATCTTCATATGGAAAGGCCTGAAAGAAGCAATTCCAGTCAAGGAATTAATCTGGAGGAGAATGTCTAAAGGAGACCCTATATGCTCAGGTTGTGGAGAGGAGCTAGAAATATTGGAACATCTTCTGCTGAAGTGCAAGAAAGCTAAGGAGGTCTGGAAAGCTGCACCGATACAATGGGATGGGATCCAGGAGCTGACTGGGAATTTCAACAGATGGTGGGCTGCATTATCTGAAGCAACTCAAAGAGATCAAGGGATAGACCATATATCTCTCACAGCTTATATTCTATGGCATATCTGGAAAAGTAGGAATGATAAAGAGTTTAACAACAAAACACATGAGCCAGTACAAGTAATCACCAAAGCCTGGAATGCATGGATGGAGTTCAATGAAGGGACCAAAAAGACTAGGAGCTGTAGTATTGAATCAACAACAGCTTCACTTCACAGGAATGAACAAGAAGCGAGCCAAACTCCAGACAACAGAATAGTAGGAATGCAGTTAAGAATAGCAACCAAGTGGAACAAGGCATCAAAGTCCATTGGATATGGTATTGTTGCAGCTGATTGTAGAGGGCAGGATGTGATGGGATGGAAAATGAGAGAAAGAGAAAGCTCAAACCAAGTTCAACATGAAGCTGAAGGTGTTAAATGGGCCCTGATCAAAGCAGCAGAACAAGGATGGAGGCTGGTATGTATTGGAGTTCCTAATATGGACCTGCTGCAGCAAATACAGGGAACAAAAACAGTTGGCTTGTGGTTAGCTACCCTAATAGAGAACATCCGCGAGCTAAGTAAGATGTTTTACAAATGCTCCTTTTGCATAGGAAAATATAGAAGGAATGATCTAAGTTGTTTGTTTAGTGCTCAAGCTTTGAGCAATTATTTTGATGAAGAATGGGTTAACCCCAATCTATAGTGCAAAATGCACTTTGTATAGCATCGAGCTAGTCTCGCCTGTGTATAATCCTTTTCCAATCAATATATTCCTATCGTTTCGACAAAAAAAAAAAAAGAATAGGTGTTTACCTAAGAAGCATAAGTGATCAGAAACACTTGTCTAAAGTGAAGGCACTATTTTCTATCTATCTCATTCATAGGCATCCGATCATCTGGCAATGCTGCAACGTAATTTTCGTACAATTGATTCCCACCTTCTATCCCTTGCTGTCGTTCTCATCATGAGTAAGATTTCATATGGTAGCAAAATCAGCATTCAAAAGAAGGGCGTGCTTAATAGAAGCAAGAGTATGCCAGCTTTGTAATAAAGTACAATTCATTGTATAATGTACACATTATGGAAGCATAAGATCCAAACATAATACGGAAGCATAATGATGTTGAAACAGAATTGAGCGAATTCACTGCCTTTGAAAACGTCCATTCATTTTTCCAAATAAAATGCAAAAGGTGTCTTCATGATCAACTCACCAACAAGCAACAAACAGCTCGGAGATTCAGACCAACAAACAGCTGCAAATCAAGATTTTATGCATTAGTACTTGCAAGAAGACATCCTTTTCCATGCTAGTGAGCACAACACATAACTTTTGTTTTCTTTTATTCTTTTCCTTTTGGTTAAAATAGATTTTCAATAATAGAACGAGTGAGCTTGCAAGATTATGTCAAGAATAAAATTGCTTATCTAAAATAGAAGAAATAAACTTCCAACTTGTGAACTGTATTAAATTCGTGTATGTACCTGTGGCTATTAAGCTTCAGGACTTTTTTGATATGCCCTGACACCAAGAAAAACATCCTTAATGAGATGTAATTTTCCGACAACTTCATTCATGTGCATCCGATCATTTGGCAATTTTTCTGAGCATTTGAGCCCGATTTTCAACAGGGAAATAACACACTCCATCTCTCTTCCACCTTAAGTTTTGTCCCCTCCAGGCGTCATTCTTGTGTCTTCATCATCTGCTTTAGAAAGAAGCAAGGGGTCCACAATCTCATAAACTTGTCAAGGCAAGGCCCTTTTAACAAAATTATGTAGATCAAACTCATCCATGAACATATCATCTGTTGGCCTCTTCCTTGTGATCATCTCCAACAAAAGAATTCCATAGCTGTAGACATCCTCCAGAATTGATGCCTCAACACCCATTCCGTACTCTGAATTTTTGTTTTTAGACATATTATTTTGTTACTTTGTACTACGAGAAAAACTAAAAAAATGGAAAAATTATCTAAGGGACTTAAACTGAATAAAAAAAAATAAAGAGAATCAGCTATTATATCACCCAAAGTTCTTTACTCCGTTTCACAATGAAATAAAGAATGAGTTAAAGAGCCCAATAATGGTATTCTATTTTTTATGTCTAAACCTTAATAGTCTGTGCACAATTTAAGTAACATCTTGACTATAAAAATTTGTAATTTGTAATTACCTGGAGCTGCATAACCGATCGATCCTTTTATGGCAATAGTACTGCTGGTTCCTTGTTCGGAAGAAGTGTTGATGGGTTTTGGGAGAAGCCTTGCCAATCCAAAATCACCCACATGAGCAACAAGATCATTGTCAAGAAGAATGTTACTTGGTTTTAGATCACAGTGAACAATCTCAGCTTCGCAGTGGTCGTGAAGATATTGCAATGCTGAAGCCACATCAATTCCAATATTTAGCTTCTGAAGAAGATTAAGACTTCTTGAGCTTGTTGCCTGATCAGTTGTCTCTGAAGGATGCAGCCACAGGTCCAGATTTCCATTTTCCATGAACTCATAGATTAGAGCTTTGAATTCATCACCCTTGGAATCAATACTGGAGCAATAGCTCACGATAGAAACGAGGTTTCTATGGCGAATATTTCTCAATGCTTTGCACTCGGCCTTAAAACTTTTCGAAGCTCCGTTCTTTTGAAGATCAAGAACTTTAACTGCTACAAGCTTGTTGCCATGTTTTTCTAGCCTTCCTTTGTAGACAGATCCAAAATTTCCCGAACCAATTAAGTTTTCTGGAGAAAATCCGGAAGTTGCATGAAGAAGTTCATGGTAAGAAAGCAGCAAGAGCTCATCGATTCTTGCGGGCATGCTAGAGAATCCTGCCGCCATGCTTCTTTCTCCTTTATGATATACCAAGAAATAAACAACAATGCACCGAGAACCAGAATTGTTGCTGGTAAAACAATGGACAGCAATATGATAACCTTAAGCTTTTCTCTGTTTTTCCCCTTAATCAGTGGACAAGGTGGGAACTCCAATTCTGGAATGCCTCCACAGAGTTTGTTGTTGCCAATCAGTGATATTTGACTCACATTGCTGAAAACTCCTGTGTTTGGTACCACACCCTCGATGTCATTATAGGAAAGGTTTAAGTACCTCAAAAATTGAAGCTTCTCAAGTTCTTTTGGTATTGGACCAGTCAAGTTATTACTTGAAAGGTCTAATTGCTGGATGCTCTTCAAAGAAGCCAAATTTGGTGGAATTGTTCCTTGGAAAAAATTGGCTTGCATAAAAAGATTCTCCAGATTTGCGCAATCAGCATGTGATATGGGTATATCTCCAGCAAGCTAGTTGTGGGAGACAACGAAAGACACCAAATGTACAAGTTTTCCAACTTCAGCTGGCAGAGAACCATTAAATGAATTCTTACCTAGGTTCAAATACCGCAGTGATGAGTGCGTCTGTAAAAAGTTTGGTGAAATAGTTCCAGTGAAGTTGTTGTGAGATATATCCAGAAATTGTAAATTTTGACAGTTCATAAGAACATTGTCAAATATGTTGGCCCCTTCAAAATGGCTGGTTGATAGATCCAGATGGTACAGAGCGGTGCTGTTTGACAGGGTGTCAGCCTGTGCAATAATAAAAACCTGCTCAAACTAAAAATAATTTCTGTAGATAGTAGTAAGCAGGGTCGAATCCACAGGGACTGGGTGTAATTGCTTCTTTCCAAATTCACAGTGACAAGGGGGGTATTTTTATATCAGGGGTGACAATTTAAGCAATTCAACTAAAAGTAAAATAATAAAAATAAAATAGCCAACTAGAAATTAAATAACAATTACTAAAATCAAATGAGTGATAATTAAGGATCTAGCCAAGAAATAACTTCAGCAATGGTTCACCTAATTGATCATCGAAACAAAGGCAATTCCAATTATTTACTAATAAATAGGTTATAACTGCCAAACAAGCGATGACAGTCAACCCCTCCTTACTGTGTCGATGATTCAGGTACATCCGTTAATTACTGCTCTAATTGAGAAATAATCTTAGGTACGCCCATAAGATTTAATTCCCCAATTGCCTTACGTATTCGAGGAGCCCTATTCTAACCAAATAACGCACTATCAGGGTTATTTTAGATTAGCCCGCGTATTCCCCTGACACAAATCCAATCATGCCAGTTATCACTATTTTTAGACAATTAAACAATTACGGATTTAACGTCCCAATTGACAATAGATTATCAAATTAATTAATTATCCGGATTTAAGATAATCAATTAATTAAACAATCATAAGCACTGTAACCAGGATATATGCGAATACCAATAAATAAAGGAAAAGATAAAATTAAATCGATCTCACAATTTTAGATGACCCAAAGCATCCGTTGTCCCTTGACTAGACAAAGAAAATTAGTTCATTCTTGGTGCACAGAGCCCACGTAAAATTGTAAAGAAAGCAGCGGCCATGGTCTCCGATTTAGAGGACCCAATTCGTTCGAATCATGAAATGAAAAGCTAAACTACAAAAGAGATTGCTTGGTTCTAATGGTCCCTGACATCCGCAGGGAACAACTACTCAAAGACGGCCATGGAAAAGTCAAAGTGAAAAGCTAAAGGTAGTGCTTGTTCTCTGCTATCTAATAGTTCCCTCTTCTAATGGCCTTAGCTATTTCCTATTCTTAGTGCCACTCATGCTGTGCGGCGGCTCTTAGGGAAAAGAAAAATTCAGCCGTCCTCTCCTTTTCAGTAATTATCAAAATGGGCCAAAGTTTTCCTTTGCCAACAATGTCCCTGGGGTAAGCTCTGCGACTTGGACTCTTTTCCTGTCAAATTGGCACTTGTTTTCATATTTTTGTTCTACTCCCTGAAATAAATACAAAATACTAAAAGTGAGTAGAATCCAACAATTAATCCACACCAGATCAGGTAATAGGGGAAATTAATAATAAATTAAATAGTAAAATTGCAACCTATCAATTCCCCCCACACCTAAACCATGCTTGTCCTCAAGCATAAGAACAGCAAACAAGTACCAATATCTGACAATGGTCATTGCTCCGTCTACCATATTGCCAAAATACCAAGAAAAATATATATCAAGCATGGGTGATCAAGATCCAAGAAACATCACTTCGGTTAGTTTCTAAATCACAAACTCCTCCAATTTCAGGTTAACTAATCTAAGAAAAAGGAATGACGCACAACATTATCAGCAAATGGTCCAACTATTAACCAAAATCTCAACATTAAATTCATAAATCGGCAAGCTGACTTTTATTATACACTAACCAACTTTTATTTTTTTTTATTACATATTTCTACTTTTCTCTTTTTTTTCTCCTTTTTTTTCAATAGTAACAAAAGACTTAGTCGCTAGCCATTGGAGCCTTTTGACACGAACTCTGACATTTGTTAGATGAAAGAGCCCGGTTACTCAGCTTCTATCGTCACGTGACCACGCACTCATAGCAATTACTATTTTTTGACGCGAGAATTGACACTTTTGGTGAAGATCCCCGGTTACTCGATAGTAAATACTAGCGGAGTACAGTCAACTCTTATTCACAGCCACATAGCACCAAAAATTCAAAATAACACAAAAATCAAAAGAAAATTTGTAGCCGCTAGCCTCATTTTCAAATATGGAGAACTAAGGTTAATAACCGGACCAATTCACATGAAAATGCCAACAATCATTCCCTATGCCTAGAAAAGTTAACCAAAAATTATAAGAGTAAAACAATCATCAATATTCACCAAAGAGATATTTTTGGATTCAACCACATTAACTTGATACATTCTTATTATTAAAACTTGGCAATAGTAAAAATAGAGGCAACAATCCAACATCAAACCTTGGCATGCACATGTGAGCTAATCACTGAAAAAAAAGAAAGAAAACGCACGAAAGATGGCCAAGTAACAATAATAAAGGAAAAACTAGAAACGCTAGCACCCGCATTTGTTCCCCCCCCACACCTAAATCCTACATTGTCCTCAATGGAGGTAATAAAGTAAGTAAAGCGAAGAGAACAATGAAACTTCCCTGTCGAATGGCTAAGGGATAGGAGGGAACAGTGGAGTGAAACCGATGTGATGGAGTACGCGGCCAAGTTCTGAGATATCTCAACCCAATTCAACCAGTAAATGTAAAACTCTGTCCACCCAAAATCTCAACAAAGTCTCCAATTGGACAGTGGATATCTCAACTCAAAATCGGCAATTCTAACAATAGCAGTTTAGAAATTTGACAATAATAACTCAATTACAAACTCTCAGCTATCAGGCAGGCAACCAACCCAATAGAAGCAACAAAATCAAGGCCAATTACCCCAACCAGTACCACTGGTGTGCCACACAGTTGATGTAAAATCTCAAACGGTCAACCCAAATCACTTGATATTCCAACCAATAGCAAACAGCACTAGAAATAAAAAGGAATCAAAATGGCAACCACCGTGCACAGAACTCCCAAACAATTCCCAAATAATAGGCGTAAAATCAAGCAAATCAATCCCACTAGTGCAATACAGGGCAACCAAGTAAGCAAGGGCAGCAAGAAATTAAAATACGATAGTCCAGAAAATGATGTCCCAGAAAATGAACTAGCGATTGGGAGCATACAATACCTCTACCTGTCAAAAATTTGACAAGTAGCGACGGTGCGCACGGCAGCGGAAAGAGGAGAGGTGATGGAGCACAAGCGTCACAAGAGGGAGAAGATCTTGGCGTGTGCCACGGTTGGAGAAGGCGGCGCGCGACAGAGGGGGGCTCGATAGCTGCGAATGCTTGCTGGATGTGCGCGATTTGGGGCCGCGCGGCTGCTGAAGTGAGATAGGCGCGCGATGGTGGGTGATGGAGGCGGACGCGAGACTAGATGGAGGAAGAGTGGTGGTGGCGTTTGTGAGCTGGTGGAGCGCGTAGCCGCTACCGTGGAAAAGCTGGGGGCCGCGAGGAGCTGGTGCAGGGACTGGCGTGCTCTGGAGCGGAGCTCACGGCAGGGAGAGAGTGAGAGCGAGCTGGTGGCAGGCCGTGGGTTGCTAGGGGCGCGCGAGCTCAGGCGGCTAGCGGCGGACGGCAAGGCGCGCTGGAGTGGAGCTTGAGCTGAGGTGGATGCGGCGGTCTCTGCGAGGAAGGAGAGAGGTAGCGCGAGTTCTGATGGTGGAGATGGAGTGAGAGTGCGTGGGGAGGGATGGCGGCGTGCGAAGGAGCCTCGGTCGACACAGAGGAGAACAGGGGAGAAGAAAGAAAGAAAAAGAAAGAAAAGAAAGAGGAGGGAAGAAAGAAAAAGAAAAAAGAAAAAGGAAATAGTTTTTTTTTTTTTGCTTTTCCCTTTTATTTTTTTTCTCTTTTTAGAAATTTTTTTTTACGGGAAGACACTCCCCTATTTTTTTAAATTACTAAAAAATGTTTTTGAAAATTTTTTTTTTGAAATTTTTTTTATATATAACTTTTTTTATTTTTGACAAAATTTATTTTTGAAATTCAAAAGTAGAGATTAATAGAAAATCAATAATCGTTCTTGAGCTTTTTTGAATACTTACCTTTCCCGCGAACTTGACGCAGGCACGGAATTTAGAGCTTTCCAGGTTACTTGACGCGGGCACGTCATGAGGGCAAGAACCCCTTCTGATGATTCTGACCGTGAGCTCTTCATACGTCATGACGCGGGCGTGTCATGTCACAGGGATGCCTGTGAATCATAAAAAACGAAAATTGAAGCCAAAAATCAGTCAAATCCAAGGAAAAAAAATATATTTAAACTAACGAACAAAAATGAACAAATAACTAAAAGAAATTGGGTTGCCTCCCAATGAGCACCTTTCTTTAATGTCTTTGGCTAGACATTATCATGTTTTGTTCATGGAGGATAAAATCTTGTGGCTCATCTTAATGCTTCATCCTCTATATAGTCCTGATAGCCCTCGTAAATAGAGTAATCCTTGAACACATGAATTACGGGCTTCCATGGACTAGTAAATGGCGCCAAACAAGTCATCGATAATTTGCATTCTCCACTCACTCCTCCCTCACATGCATTTATTGGTCCAAGATATCTTACCATCGCCATTCTTAATTTATTCCTATCATGAAATTCAAGATTTTCTGGTATAATAAAATCAATTTCATTAACAGGAATTGAAGAATAAGAGTCAAGAGAATATTGATTAAGGAATGGAGGAGATGTCACCGCATTTGGAGGTTGTTCACTGGATTCATTCACTTGGACGGGTTGATATTGGGGGCTCATTTTTTGCACATCAACTTCCTTTTCAACTGCATCTTTAGATTCGTCTCCTTGAAACTCTTGCAGTTCCATGTCATTTGGCAGGATAATTGCACTCTCATCTTCTTCAAGGTTGATATTGGTTTGTGAGGGCAATTCTTTAAGGTGAGAAGCTAACTGCGTTATCTTGGATGTCAATTGGTTCATTTGATCCGCCAGGTTACGCATGCTCGCTTGTGTCTCCTGATGAAATCGATATGTATTAGTAGCAAATAATTCAATCAATTCCTGAAAAGACATACCTGACATGGATGATGGTTGTTGAGACTCTTGCTGTTGAAAATCCATTGGCCCGGTCGCATAATTAAAATTGGAATTATCCCACCATCCTTGATCATACCTGTTTGGGTAAGGGTCATACCACGTTTGAAATCGAGGTGGAAAATCTCCAAAAGTATCAATTGGAGCACTTAGATTATCTTGAAATGCGGGGCATGTGTCAGTTGAATAACCTGAGTCAAAATAAGTTTCACAATTTGCAACAGCCCATTGATCATTAGGAAAAACATGAGTCTCATAACCCCATTCAGGAATAAAATCCAGTCTATTATCAAAATATGGAATGTTAGCAGCCATAAACTATATAAAAAAAATAAGAGAAAAATAAATTAAAAATGAAAACAAGGTGAACTCAAAAAGAAACAAATTAATTTGGCACCAATCCCCGGCAACGGCGCCAAAAATTGACAGGATGTCAGCCTGTGCAATAATAAAAATCTGCTCAAACTAAAAATAATAGTGGTAAGTAGGATCGAATTCACAGGGACTGGGTGTAATTGCTTCTTTCCAAATTCACAGTGACATGGGGGTATTTTTATATCAAGGGTGACAATTTAAGCAATTCAAATAAAAGTAAAATAATAAAAATAAAATAGCCAACTAGAAATTAAATAACAATTACTAAAATCAAATGAGTGATAATTAAGGATCTAGCCAAGAAATAATTTCAGCAATGGTTCACCTAATTGATCATCGAAACAAAGGTAATTTCAATTATTTACTAATAAATAGGTTATAACTGCCAAACAAACGATGACAGTCAACCCCTCCTTACTGTGTCGATGATTAAGATACGCCCGTTAATCACTGCTCTAATTGAGAAATAATCTTAGGTACGCCCATAAGATTTAATTCCCCAATTGCCTTACGTATTAGAGGAGCCATATTCTAACCAAATAACGCACTACCAGGGTTATTTTAGATTAGCCCGCGTATTCCCCTGACACAAATCCAATCATGCCAGTTATCACTATTTTGAGATAATTAAACAATTACGGATTTAATGTCCCAATTGACAATAAATTATCAAATTAACTAATTATCCGGATCTAAGACAATCACTGAATTAAACAATCATAATCACTGTAACCAGGATATATGCGAATACCAATAAATAAAGGAAAAGATAAAATTAAATTGATCTCACAATTTTAGATGACCCAAAGCATCCGTTGTCCCTTGACTAGACAAAGAAAATTAGTTCATTCTTGGTGCACAGAGCCCACGCAAAATTGTAAAGAAAGCAGCGGCCATGGTCTCCGATTTAGAGGACCCAATTCGTTCGAATCATGAAATGAAAAGCTAAACTACAAAAGAGATTGCTTGGTTCTAATGGTCCCTGACATCCGCAGGGAACAACTACTCAAAGACGGCCAAGGAAATGTCAAAGTGAAAAGCTAAAGGTAGTGCTTGTTCTCTGCTATCTAATAGTTCCCCCTTCTAATGGCCTTAGCTATTTCCTATTCTTATTGCCACTCATGCTGTGCGGCGGCTCTTAGGGAAAAGAAAAATTCAGCTGTCCTCTCCTCTTCAGTAATTACCAAAATGGGCCAAAGTTTTCCTTTGCCAACAATGCCCCTGGGATAAGCTCGACGACTTGGACTCATTTCCTGTCAAATTGGCACTTGGTTTCATATTTTTGTTCTACTCCCTGAAATAAATGCAAAATACTAAAAGTGAGTAGAATCCAACAATTAATCCACACCAGATCAGGTAATAGGGGAAATTAATAATAAATTAAATAGTAAAATTGCAACCTATCACTGTTGCTTAGAGTAGAGACTATCTGTCCTGAAAACTCATTATGGTCCAAACTCATACCTTGCAGATTTTGTAATTTGCCAAAATCTCTTGGAATGACCCCTGAAAGAGAGTTCATATGAAGGCCGAGTCTATATAGGTTGACAAAATTTCCAAATCCTTCTGGAATGGTTCCAAACAGTTGGTTTCCTCCCAAGTCCAATCCAGCGAGTTGATTTGAGAGATTGGCCATGACTTTAGATATATTACCTCCAAATTTATTGGCAGTCAAGTCAATCTCGCTCAGATTACTGCAGTTGCTCAATGATACAATAAAATCCAAGTCTCCTGAAGCATTATTGCCGAACAGATTAGCATCAAGATTTAAACGTTAAAGTTGTGTCGGATCTCCTAAATTAGCTGGAATTTGGCGTGCAAAGTTATTGTTCGAAAGACCAAGTATCTCAAGCCCAGAAGCATTGGTGATTGAAGTTGAAAAGTTTCCTAGAACTCATTTGCCCCAAGATATAATCCTTTCAGATTTGGTAGGGTGAGACCTATGTTGGTTGGGAGTTTGCCATGAAAGGAATTGTCAGCTACTGAAAAGATAGTAATGGCTGAACTATTAAAGACAGAGGCTGGAATGATACCGGATAGTTTATGACAGGTGTCGAGCCTGTGCAATAATAAATACCTGCTTGAGAAAAATAAATTTTCTGTGTATAGTAATAAGCAGGGTCGAATCCACAGGGACTGGAAAAAATTCGATTCTTTTTAAATTCGAGACACGGGGGATTTTTATCAAAATGAAATTAAAAATAAATAATTATACAATTTAACTAAAAATAAATAAATAAATAATTAATACAAATGTAAATAGCAATCAAATAAATAATAAATAAATTCTAGTCAAGGATACAACTACGCAGACACAGTCCATTCATCCGATCATTGATGCAAAGAGATTCACTTAATTTTATTAACAGGTTAGTTATAGTCGCCGATAAACTCTAACGACCAGCTTTTCCTTAATTTATTGATAACCAAGGTACGACCGTTGATTACCCCTAATCAGGAAATACTCCTAGGTACGACCATAGGAATTAATTTCCTAATTGCCTTAAAAACTAGAAAAGCCTAACCCAAATTAATAACACGCTACGAGGGTTATTTAAATCAGATTGCATGTTCTCCTAATATGTAAAAATACTATTTGCCACTAATATTAACCAATTAAACAATTACGGATTTAATTGATTAATTTGACAGGAGATTAAAATATCAAATTGCACATCGGGCCCTTGATATCCAATTAACAAAATAATCCCATGAAAATTAAAATAGAAAACATGCAAATATTAACAAATTAAGGAACACGTAAAATTAATTAGATCTCACAGATATTTGGGACTGCGTCTTCGCATTGATCCTTGACTAGAGGAGAAGATTTGCCACACCTCATGATAAAATTTCCACACAATTTAATTGGAATCAAATACATAAATAACTAACTAAGAATTTAGAAAGAAACTTGAGTCTCCGTAGACTCTTTGAAGAAAAGTCTTAAATCATGCTTGTCCTCAAGCATGGGAACACTAAACTCAACAATAGCTAGCTCTCATGTCGTCTATTGCCAAGCTGTGCTTACACCAAAATCAAGTTTTAGTGGCTAAATGTCAAGACATAATTCTCCCGGTTAGCTCCTGAAATCATAGACTCGTCCAATTCATAGCTAACTCGTCTAAGAAATGAAAATATTAAACTAGCAAAAGTTAGCAATTGGGTCAACTGACAACCAAAATCTCAACATTGAAAAACAAGGATCGGCAGGCCAACATGATCATAAGCTTACACATTTTTTTTTATTTTTTTTGAGAATTCTTTTATTTTTATTTTTTATTTTTTGATAAATGCTCAGTCCCAAGCTATTCAAGTCTTTTGATGTGAACTCTGACGTTTTTAGATGAAAGAGCCCAGTTACTCAACTTTTCACAGTTTCAGGACTAACTACTCATAGATATCACCACTTTTTGACGCGAAAGTCGACACTTGTGGTGAAGACTCCCGATTACTGGGTGACGACACTAGCGGAATAGAGTCATTTATTAATCACAATTAAAGCACCAGAATACCAGATAATTAAAGATCATGGCCCACGTCATCTCCTAATATGGAGAACTAAGATCAACAATTGCCCAATCCACACAACAATTGCTAATAAAATATTTATATTGCCTAAACAAGTTAACCACAATTTGCACCAAGTCATTAAACTCATGATATTCACCAAGATAACATGCTTTTACTTGCCACTTAAACTAAATTCATAGAATAAATCATAACCAGCAATAGACGAGT